TAGGGCTTGCCCTGCTGCCCCCGATCATGCAAGTGGCCCTCCTCTGGACCCTCTCCATGCTGTCCACATCGTGCCTGAAGTGTGGTGCCTAGAACTGGACACAGTACTCCAACTGCGGCCTGACCAGTGCCGCATAGAGGGGGAGGATCACCTTCTTGGACCTGCTTGAGATGCATCAGTGGATGCATGACAAGGTGTGGTTGGCCTTCCTGACCACGTCCCCACACTGTCAGCCCACGTTCATTTTGGCATCAGTAATGACTCCAAGATCCTTTTCTGTCTCTGTACTGACGAGAAGGGAGCTCCCCAGCCTGTAGGTATGGTGCTGGTTCTTCCCCCCCATGTGCAGTACCTTGCACTTGTCAGTGTTGAAACCCATTCTGTTCTCATCTGCCCACCCCTGTAACCTGTCTAGGTCCAGTTGCAGCCCAGTCCTCCCTTCTCACGTGCCCTCTTCCCCCCACATCTTAGTGTTGTCTGCGAATTTGAGCAGGGCGCTTTTTACCCCCTCGTCCAAGTCACTGATGATGTTGAACAGTGCAGGCCCAAGGACCGAGCCCTGGGGGACCCCACTGCCCACATCCCTCTAGGTCGAAAATGACCCATCCACCACCACTCTCTGGGTGCGGCCCTCCAGCCAGTTAGTGACTGTGTAGGTGGCCCTCCAGCCATTTGACTGTGTAGGTGTGGATGCCACAGTCCCCTAGTTTTTTAATGAGAATGGGGTGAGAGACAGTGTCGAAGGCCTTCCTAAAGTCCAGAAAGACTACGTCCACTGCTACCCCTGCGTCTAAGGATTTTGTGACCTGTCATAGGAGGCCACCAGGTTGGTCTGACAGGACCTGCCTCTGATGAACCTGTGTTGGTTGCCCCTAAGTATAACCTCACCTGCTGGCCCCTCATGCACTGGCACCAGGATAATTCTCTCAAAACAACATTATATGTTGTATAATGTTTGGGAAGATAGTTGGATTTATCTCTTTTAAGTTTTGTATTATGTGTTGATTTCCTTCTTGAGTTGATCTCTTTTGGAGTAGGTTATATGAAGGAGATAAGTTTTTCTGAAGTTCTGCATAATTGTGAAGCATATTTGGAGCTGTGTGTAGTAGTCAGAGGATTGTAGATTGTTCACTCCTCTGGGAATGGTGTTGTGTTTCTTGCATATGCTTAGAAAATATATATCGCTGTTGAGTTTGGCTTCTTCTTCGTGTTGTGAAGTTTCCATGCTTAGAGTACAGTTCTTCTGAAACTTGTTCAATGACTCTCTTGCTCCTGGACATCAAATGGGCTCTGTCCATCTTTCTTAACTTATTAATAAGATAGAGCTGACCAAATGATGCTTTTGGAGACAACTGTGCAAAGGTGCTGACAGCAGAGAGGTAGCAGAAGGCATCCTTTGGCATGCAGAATGTTTAGCCGTGGGAATGCTGCACGAGTTTAGAAGAACCCACTCTGCATCTCAGAGTCCTGACTGAGTTGGAAAATGTTGGTAGTTTAAGAGCCCAAATAAAAGACCTTTTTTAACCTGTAAACTGGGCAGATTTTACAGACAGTGGGTTACAGTGAATATGGAACCTAGAAGGCTACTTTCAGATAATGCTGTGAAAAATGACCTTGTCGTAAAGAGTCTCCACTATGTATGAAATAACCTGTTGGAAAAACTACTTTAGACATAGAAAAGTTTATTGCTTTCATTAGCCAGGTACTTGATACTTTGGTATACAAATTTCTGTCTGCAGAAGGTTTAAATCAACTGGCGTAAGTGAGTAGTTTGACTTCTATGCTTTTTGCTGTTATAGACACAGACACTTCTGTGTATTTTTGCATTAGTCCATTCATAGCAGAAGTATGGTCAGTGCTGACACAAACCATGAAGCTTCTGAGGCAAGTCATTTCTGTATTGATACGATGTCATCTTCAAGCAAGATTGCTGAGTCATCAAACTCTAACAAGATAAAGAAATCTGAGGTCTGTAAAACAAGTGCTCTGCAAAAGAGAAGGGGGAGGGTCCATCATTTTTGCTATGTTAGTCTGAACTGGGGGGCAGCAGCTTTTCCTCTTGTGGTTAAGTCTCGTGTAGTCACGGTCTGAAACATATTTGGGGAAAAAGCTGGCCACAGTGAAATTAAATGTACTTTGCCATTAATTGCAGTAGGATGAATGTTGACTACTGTTACACATACACATACTTATGCATGCATGCATACACATTTAAACATAGTATTTTTTTCCTTAACTCCTTCTGTTTAGTATTTTGCTTTCCCTTGTATGCTTTATATTCTGTCTAAAGCTGGAAAGAGACCATGAAGAATTGTGCAATAGCTGCACCTTTGGGGGTTGGCACGTTACATTTCTGGCATGATGAACAAGTTAATCATGCCAGAAATAGAAATGTGCCACACATTCATCACATTTTATGGTGCCACAAAATGTGAAAGCAATCACAAAGACATTCCTCAAAATGTGTAACATCTTTGTAGCTGGTTTATATGTTCCCATAAAGGGAAAGTGTGGCATGACCCAGCATCTGGATGCCAACAAGCTGATTGTTGACATTAGAAAATGGGCAGTCCCAAAACTAATAGTTACTGATTGTCAGCCTTGGGATGTGGGCTTGCCAGGACCTGGCAACTTAAAGAGCCTTGCTCTGTAGCCCCTACTCTTTAATGTTCTTTTAAGGTGTTTGGTCCCAGCAAGCCTCAGGACATAAGGCAGCTCCAGGGCCTAGTGCACAGCCCTTCCTGATCCTCAGGGTCAGACAGGGGACAGCCCTGGGTCTGAACCAGGGCTGGGGCCAACCGGTGTTGAATTCCAATGCTTATCACGATTCAGCACTGGGCACTGGGGTCTGGGACAAAGTTGCCACTTGCCCAGTTGGCAGGATAGGTCTGGGGGCAGCTCCAGGTCCCAGAGACTGCCTCTAGACCTGGCTGCCTGCTGATCTATCCTGGAGGATGTTGGGCAGCTCTTTAAAAATAGGTGCACAGGTGAGGATGGGCAGCTTCTCCCACCCCCAGCTGCACAGGCTAGTCTAAAGATGCACCCTACACAAGCATTGGGGCATGGGGGAGCTCCCCCCCATCCCCAACTGCATCATGGGGGGGTTCCATGAGTCTGACATTGAGGAGCTTCTACCAGTGTCAGACTTATGGCACCCAGGGAACTCAGAAAAGCAGGCAGGCATTCAGCCATGGCTCCCAGCTGCATGGATGCTTTTTAAAAGCCTGGAGCACTATGATGGTAAGGCTCCCCAGTGTTTGGCTCACTGCACCCTGGACCTTTACAAAGCGAACGTGCAGTTGCGAGCCCCAGTTGCTTACTTGCTTTATATTCCCAAGCACCCATGAAAGCAGTACCTGAGGAATGCTGAGCTCTTGGCTCCCAACTCCTGCTTCCGTGTGTGGGAGGGGTACAGCTGGAGAACAGCAAGTTTCTCAGTCCCCGTCTGCAGATGCTTCCCTCTGCTGGCAGCTAGCATTCATTCAACTGGAGTTTGAGAAATGTTATGACCTGTTCCCAGAATTGCATGACTGCCATGCACATCTGCATGGTTTGGGGAAAGGAGCATAGGATTCCTCAGATCCCAGTTGCATGACTGCCTTAACAGCTGCCAGCAGCCTTATAGCTGGGAACAGCATGACACTGGGGAGTCAAAGTCTTTAGTTGCTGGGGGATACTGGGAAAAGTTAGGAACTGGAGACAGAGAAGGTGTCCCTGTTTTGTTGTATCTGATAGAACATGCCATATTTTCAGTATGTTTAGTTTCTGAAAACATGTTCCTTTGTATATTTTTGCATCTCATCTGTTTACTTTGGAATGAAGATAAGCTTTGACTATTCTTTCTTCATGTTTATGTTACCAAGTTAATAGAACTGCATAAGAGCAGCCTGGAATATGTCCATTCTCACATAAGAAGAACTGCAGAATCTCATCACAAAACTGCAGGGTCAAATTCTGCTAACGGGAACCTTTGCAACTCTGCCTTTGCCTTTGCACAGCTCTGTCCAGTGATGTCACACTGGTATAAGTGGTCTATAACATCTTTCAAGTGTTTGCACAAAGAAGTATGAATGAGCATGTAGTAATGATTTAGCTTTATGAGATTAATTTGACTCTCAGATCCAAGGAGAAATTTGGAGTTCTGGCTTTTATCACATAGTATCTGATAGTGAGAATTTAGGGATGAGAAGTAGAATGTCATTTTATGGGCACATGTCAGAGGGCACAATAGTGTGAGGCTGCATAGGATGAATTGTGGAAGGAGGAGGATCACAGGACCGTATTTCGTTTTCTCTTTTCACACTCTCCATTAACTTCTCTCTTCTCAAATGTATTTGTGCAGTTGTTTGGGCTAGAACTTTCTTCCATTAATTAATATAGTCAGTAGTAAAGGTTCACTGCAACTTCAGTAAGATGGGAAAACTAATGCTAGATGATCAGCTGCCATAGAGGGATGTGCATGACAAGATCCTCTTTATATTCAGCAGAGCTCTGAGGAGCAAGGTAGTTGTCTCCTGAAAGCCTCAAAAGCCTGTTCACTGTTACTGTAGATCAGGGCTGGGCAAAATATAGCCCACAGGCTAAATCCAGCCCACCAAAGCATTTCATCTGGCCCACAGCGGATCCCTTGCCCCACCTGGCCCAAGTACGGGGGAGGGCAGCCTGAGAGGTGTGCAGTTAGTCTCGCTGTCCTTGGGCATGCAGTGCATCTGGGGAAGTGTAGTACCCGGACTCCATTTCCCAGCTGCCCCAGTGGTGGCTCCTGGCTGCCACTGCCAAGCCCCAACTCCAGCCCCGCTGCCCAGGCACCCTGGCCCATCCACCCCGTACCCACAGCCAGGACTGCCAGATGGAGTGGGCATGGTCTCCATGGAGACTGGCTGGGACCCACACAAGCAAGATGCATGGCCAGGTGACTGGAATGGGGCTGCGGGCAGGCAGGGAGTCGTGTCCAAGAGCAGGATGGTTGGGGGCAGGACTGGAGATTGGGATTGGGATCTCGTGGCAGTGATGACATGGTGCTGGGCTGCGATCTGCCCACATTTTCCTTCCATGGGCACTGGTTCCACAGGTAGGGGCATGCAAGGAGTGGATCATGGCTCTGCCCCCAGCCCTGGCCATGCACTGTCACAACCCTGCAATCCTGATCCCGTTCCCAGACAGGGCTCCCTGCCTACCCGCAACCCCATCCCATCCTCCCGGCTGCATGCCCTGCCTGTGCAGGTCCCAACTGGTCTCTAGGGCAGAGCTACGATCCATTCCCTGCATGTCCCTGCCTGTAGAACTGGCTCCCATCTCAGGGGTATGCAGGAAGCAGATCATGTCTGTCCCAGGCCCTAGTGACTGGCCCAGGACAGTGTCCCACTGTCTCCACCCAGCAATCCCAATCTCAGCCCCAGCCCTGGCCCTACCTGCCTATCCCACACCCAGATGCTACTCCCTGCCTGCCTGTGGCTCCATCCCAGCCAGCTGGCCATGCCTGGGAGCCACTTAGAGCTGTTGCAAGGGGGAGGGGGAAGGGGAGGGTGCTGAGCTGGCCCTCAACAGCTCACTAAACAGCTCACTAAAACTCCCCAAGTGGTCCTCTGGCTAAAATAATTGCCTGCCCCTGCTGTAGATGGATACTTGGGCAGATAACATGAGTTAATGTACTGAACAAAGGGCTAGGAACCAGGCAGTCCAATGTTCTCATCCTACCTCTGTTGCTGTCTCACAGTATGTTCTTGGACTAGTCACAGACCCTAATTCTTCAACTTCCATGAAGCTCCTGGGGGGTACTGAGTGTTTCACTGTTTCCACAAGAGCCAGTTCCTAACCTGGAACTTTGTCTGTGCCTCCATTTCCCCTGCTGTGAAACAGATGTAATCTTATATCCCTAAATGGTATCACAGTGATACTGCTACGATTAAGGAGCTAATGTTTGTGCGAACCTTTGAAAATGTCAAACATTGGCAGATGCCAAGGATTGGAAAATATATATTGCAGCAGGCACAAGTGCAGAATCTGTTTTTGTGGGAGTTTCTTGTTCCTCTAATGTAGTAGCAGACACGATTCAAAATGCACTGGGGTAGAGGGAGGCACAACTTCTGAAGTAATGTAATTCCCTTTTTTCTTTTTAATGCTAGCTTAAGTCTAAGGACTCTACATGTGAATGTAAAACTTCTCCGCAGACACAGAAGCTAAATGAGAAAGAGAAAGGTTCATTCATTCAAGCATCTCACACTGGTGAGTACTATTGTGTAGCAGTTAGCATCTAGAACAACAGGTAGGAAGGTGAATATATGGCTCTCACTAGAACCACTGAGTTAAAAATATAGTTCAGCATTTGTACAGTTGAATGTATTTTGATTATGGAATGAAGGCAGCATTTAGTTTTACACTTAACACAGATCTTAAATCCCTTCATTTAACACTTCATCTCCACACGTCTGTGCCATTGCAATCGTGGCCAAGCTTGAAACTGAGTTTATTTTCACACTCCATTTGTCTTATTTCAGAATCCCTTCCCTCATTCTTGGGGAAGTCTGTTTTTCAGATTGGAGCTTAAGTGTGTGACCAGCCACAGCAGTTCATTCCCCATCTTGGCTAACCTTGTCAGACACCAACTCAATTAAAACAGTTGTGCAACTTTCACTGTCCCTATAGATGCTATTGGGGAACACACTTCTGCTTTGTGTGTTTGGGCACAGGAGGACAGGACTAGAACAGTTGAGCAGGCAAGCCACATTCAGCTGGCAGAAGTGCTGGTGAAGGGCCACAAGGTCTTCCCCAGCTTAGTTTTCCAGCCCATTGTTAACTTGGCTGGAGCTGAGGAATAGGTGTTGACTGGGAGGATGAATAACTACTTAAGGGGAAAAGGGCCTGGAGAAATGCTCAGTAGTTTGCAGGGAAGAGAATTATTCATATGCAGGTGAGCTTGAGAAACACTTCAGTGCTGTAAAGAGACAGCAGCAGTCCCCTGCAGTTTCACTAATTAACTGCAATGGTGTTCCATGGAGCCCTGGTGTCCTGAGCTTGCCCAAAGGGCAACAGTGGACTCTACTGCAGAACTTAGTTCTGCAAGCACCAAGTAGGATTTGAAGCCAGAGTCACAGCACTCTCTGTTCTACACTTCTCCCAGGCCACTGCAGGATGTCCTTGTTGCAATGAAGTGCTACTCAGCATAGCCATTTTCTACATCTCCTTTCATTCTGTTCCCCACTTCAATCACTAAAAAAACAAGGAATGAGCAGTTAATGGGACCATTGATCTTGGGCCAGCCTCAAGCCACACCTTGGCAACCAGCTGCATTCACAGACTCCTCTCCTTTTTTGCTTTGAACATAGTATTGCCCATGATACACAGCTGTTCCCTCTAAATCATGCTTGTACGTGCATACCTAACACTGACCTTAAGAATTTTAAGGTAGTGATATTCATTCATTAATAAATGTAAATTGATCAACAATTGATCTAGTTGGGTGAATGTTAAAATTGGGTATGCGAAGGTCTGGATGTGTGGGGTTCAAAGGTATTTTATTGTGGAAGAAGTAGTCAGGAAGGATGGATGTTTTGTGTTTTTTTTTGACGAGGGGGTCGGTACAGCATGTGAACTAAGGATTAGTCTGAATGTCAGTGTTAGACTAACAACTGTTTTTCTTGTTTTTTTTTTTTTTTTTGTAATGTTTGCAGTAGTAGAGAATGGTAGGTAAGTCTTAATTTTATGTTCATTTTGTTTGTATAGTAAGTTTTAGAGGGTTCTTAAAACCACGCAGATGCCTAATGTAAAAGGATGGGTTACTTACAATTTATATCACCTGCTGACCTTAGTAGAGATGTGTTGGTGAGGTCTTTTGCAATAGAACACTTGGATGTTATACAAGTTTCAATCCCTGTGCTGCAGCTAATCACCCTAAATGATTTTCTCATGTCTGCTGATTACTGTACTATACTATTGTTAGTTCGTGTTATGGCAACCATACAGCTGAAGCCTTGTGCTCCTGAGTTACATTTTTAAATGTAATGGTAAAATTGCCCATAGTAAAAGAGACTATATTAGACTGAAACATTCCTTCTCAAACCTCACCCATCTCTGGAGGGGTGAAACCCTTTTAGTTGTTTTCTCAGAAAAATTAGCTTTTTTTACTGGGGCAAAGCTATATGCAAACTGGAGCATTGTGCTGGAATGACAGGTAACAATCCATAGTTGCTTAATATGGAGACGTAAAAAGTTAACATGTTAAATGACTCAATTGTCTGAAAATATTTTTGTCCCTGCAGTACTAAACAGCACCTTCTCCTCCAGCACAACACATCTACAGTCTACAGATGACAAAGATGAAATATTAGTACAGTCATTGCCCATTCTGGAGACAGAAAAAGGCCAAGTTCTCAGCAGTCCAGTGAAAGAACTGGCAGGTAAAGTAGTCTTGAAGATTTGGTACCAGTTTTAAACAAACATACAAAAAAAAATCACTCGGCTCACGAACTGCTAAATGTTAATTGACTAGTAGATTCTAACTCTTCATGCTATTGTCAGAAGAGGGCAGTAAAAGAACATCTAAAAGAGGAGAGAGCTTGATCAATAGAAATTAAGTCACTTAAAAAAATAAGATGTGTGATGATTTCTCCTCCCCCATGTTTCCCCAGTTTAAAAATGATACTCCTTCCTTTAAAGGGCACTGAGAACTTATGCATAAATGAATATGTCCATTCTTACTCAGTGTGTGTCCTTATTTACATCATTACCTGGAGAAGGAAAATACATATTACAGAACACAGTTCTACAACAGTGCACAGGTAATTCAGCTGGAAAAGAATAGTTAAGACATGGCAGTTAAGGCACGTGCAAAATATAGCATTTAATCTAAACATCCACTTTTTGTCCTGGTAGTGGCCATCTGCCTACAGTAGCCCCTGACTCTATAGGGATTCTTGTTTCTGTTATTCTTCATAACTGTGGAAGTCCTTTTACTGCTGAGGAACCCCAGACGCCAGAGCAGAAGCAAAAAGCTCCAGCTTTGTGTAGTGACTGTCTGTACAGTATTCTTTCTCTCTCCTCTCTGAAAATAAGTAGAACAATGATAGGGTAAAGGAGCATGAGAGTTGAGAATCCAAAATTGGGCTGCTGTTTAATCGCACTGGATTTTGGGTATTGACACAAGAAATCAGGCTAAGCTCATTCTATATTTATCCAAGAACTTACTTTTTTGTGTGTGTCTATTTAGAACTGTTTTTAAAAGGGAGGACACCCCTGTCAGAGTTAGGTTCCAGCAGTAAAACCACTGACCTCCGGCCACCAATGTTTTCTAGTGTTCTGGACCATGTTCTTCCTATCCCCCAATGGGAGCAGAACTACTTTAAAAGACACTGATCCACATTCCTACCTCTTTTCTGCTATATTTTTCCCTTTGGTCCAGGACCTACATAGTTACAGATCTAGAGGAGGGAAGAACAGAATTTGCATCTTAAAGGAGCCAATGCTGAGCTTCCTTAAGCATAAGCTCCATCATTTCAAGCATACCTAACTGCTATGATCTTCCTTTCTTCTGTGTTGTACAAGAAAAACAGATATGAAATTGCTACGGCAGTAATTTTAATGCTAGATGAATGCATCTACAATAGAGTTCAAAGGGGAAACCTGCTTTGCCTCTACTCACAGACCCTCCATTAACGTAGTCAGAGACAGCCAGTTACAGACTAAAAGGCCATACTGTTTATGGAGGTTTTCCGCAACAGAAAGCACATCTCCTACAAACTTGGAAACTTCAAGTGTCAGAGGGGACACACTGCAATTGATTTAAATGTTGTTACAGATAAACTAGAAAAAGCTGAAAGTGAACAGAAGGAAAAAATCAATTTTTGGCTAAGCCAGATACATATCTTTTTTGTGACTACGTTATTTGCTGCCTACAAGCATGAACAAGTGGTGAGAGAAAAAATAAAAGAAAATCAAAGACGGGAGGCTGAACTAGAAGCACTGAGGAAAATCAAAGATGAGGAGTTAGCAAAGTAAGTCTTAAGTCTTTATTTTACACTGTGCTAAGGCATCAGGTCCATTTACAAAAGTACCACCTTAATGAAAATGGAGTTAGCTTTGTTCTGCTCACTTGGAAATTCATGCTGTTCTACTCCTAGATTACAGAGGAGCTAGTCTTTTTGAATACATTCTGATTACTGGTTGCACTGCAATTTAAATTGGGAAACTAGCACTCACTTCTGTGACACACGAAGATAAATTAACGGAGAGGTAGTATAAGGTGTTTTTATCAGATTACCTCTTAGTCCCCTATACATACTGGTGTATTCCTTATAGATATACTTTCTAACTATAAGACTTGCTTCTCATAAAAACTAGTTTCTTTTGACTGAAGCACATCTAACAGCTAAGCAACTGCAACTCCTGGTGGCCTAAATGTTGCAGCTTCTTGTCACTAGGCTTGGGACTCATTAGAACACCTGGTGAGGTGATGGGGCAAAGGGGCTCCAGAACAACTCAGTTCTTCAGCATTAGGGAAGGAAGGAATTGACCTTACATGGGAAGGGCAGTGACTTGGCTCATAGGAGGAAAGTTTCAGCCCATAGATTGATCTGTGTGTCTCTTACAAGGCTAAGATGGTGTTGCAGAGCTAGATGTTCCTTCCCCAGTGTGAAACCAGTATTCTTTCCCCAGTAGATCCTTACAGGGCCTTGTTCACACTAGCTGTACTAGTATAACTGTGCCAACACTAAGGCCTGGCCTTGTATCAGTACAAGAGTTTTCAGCTATACTATACTAACACACTCCTATTCGTGCATGGCAATAAGCTATATATAATCTAAGGTATTGTTTTAAAGATAATCTCATGCACACTAGGGACTGTGTAACAATTGCTGAGAACACGTGTACTAATGTTGACACTTCAGCTGAACTCCAGAGCATTCAAAGTCTACCCAGCTACTAATTTTTAATACACACCAGTTAATTAGGCAGTACTGTTAGTAAACTATGGTTAAAACTTTCTAAAGCACTTTGGTCTAAGTGACCTTCGAGTTAGTATTTTTGAAAATGGAACTCAAGTAAGTTTCAAGAGCACTGAATGTCTTCAGGGCATTGCACTGCTGTGACAGATGAAACTAGGTCATGTCAGGGCTCACTCAATTTGTGTCCACCATGACCCACTTTGAGGAGGCTTCTTGCACAGACACTTGGAAGCAGCTGTGCAATCTTAACTCAATACTTTTACAAGCGTTATCAGTTGAATTTTGGCTTGAAGTTGGAATCTCTTTCAACTACTTGTTCTAAGTTACTTCCAGGAAAGACCAGGCCCAGACACACTCTCCTGTCCAAGACTAATTTTATTTCAGGGTGTCCCTCATGTTCAGGTGGCCAAATATTTTTGGCTAGTTTGCTTCTGTGCTGTGAGCTCATGCTCCAGTTAGCTTTGTTGGGTTTGACAGAGTAGCCATGCCTGCGTGCACATTGCTCTTACTGCAGCTGTGCTTGCACTTTCGTTAGGGATTTTTCTCAAGCAGTAAGACTCCTACACTGCTCACATCTTTAAGGGAGGGGAAATTACTTGCCTGTATTTCTGCTTCTTTGAAACTATCTTACAAAGTTGTGATTCACCTATTTCCTTCCAGAGCTTGAAGTTCCTTTTGAAATTTCTCTCTTTTTTTTTTAGTAGGGCGCTTAAGTTTAGGCTTGGCATACAAAGCTGTATTGATACATTACATGAGTATTTAAAAATATATATGTATACATCACTTGTTAATTAACTGCATGGTCCCTTAGGTTTGACTTGTATGTGCGCAGTAGCCCTAAAATACCCACAGAAGCCAAGTTCAAACGCAGGAATGTTTACATCTAGCTTCATTAAGTGACAGACTTAGACATGACATTAGTTTAATTGCAAGTATTGTAGAGAAAAATCCTTAGATGGATCTTACAGGTCTTCCTTTTTGAGAGCTTTGCATTTTGTATAAGGCCCTTGCTGCCCTTAGAACATTCCAGCTGCTTCTGTTGTTTGATGGCTGATGTTACATTGCTACTCATTGTCATGCCTTAGTGGTCAAACAGCACCTTGAGAACTAAGAGAAACAACATCTTCCAAGACATGATTTTTTTTCCTTTTAAGAGCATGCTAGAGTATAGCATGATTTAGATAATATGCAAAGATATGTGGAATTTTACCACTTGTTACTTAAAGTGGGAACAGCAGAGTAAACTTACTTTAGGAAGGAATTAAAAGGATTATAGTTTTTCCTTAAGGAAACTGACACTGCACATAATCACAGTATAGGTGTTTGCATAGCAATACAAGGTCTTAACATTTTGCAAGTTTCCTGCAATAACAAGCCAGTTTGATCTGTTTGATCTCAGGCTTATCATCACGAGAGAAGATGCCAAAAAACAAGAAGCAGCTGCAGCAGAAAAAGCAGCATTAGAGACAGAGAATGGAGCAGTAAAAGAACCTGAGGATTCAGTAATACAGCTGTCACCTCCTCCAAAGGAAGAAGCAATCATTGCTCCCCAGCCTGTGATTACTAAGGTTGCTGCTGCTTCAAAGAAAAAGAAGAAGTAGATGATGCTAAGACTAAAGCTGTATGTACATACGAGGTGTATTAATGCGAAGATAACTAGATTTTACAAAGCTAAAAGGGAAATCTAAACATTACAATATATAGTTATAGCACATGAGTGCCAATAAAATTATTTCCATGATGTTTCTTTATTTTGGAAGGAAGTTTGTTTAATCACTAGCTAAAATGACTGCTCTTCCTCTTCACCCCAATATAGACAAGCCTGGGTCTACCTCCTGGCTTGAAAATACTTCTACACATTAGTGGTTACATGGAGCTTATTTGACTTTTGGAGAATACAAAGCTGGACAACTAGTTAGAAGAAGTTTTACTATTATAGGTTATAAGGCCCGCTAGGGTCAAATTTACCTGTTGGCTAAGTCTTGTTACCATGACATCGGTTTACATAAAATGTGAATCTACACAAGCTCTGCATAAGGTTTGTGCTTCAATTCTTGTGGGCCTGGAAAGAACCCAGCTGTTTTGTTTTTGGACCTGATCCTGCATCAAGCCTTATTTGATCTGAGTGGGAACAACTCTCAAAAGAACTGAACATTAGGCTTAGTCTTTCTTCACCTTTAATTGTCTGTCAGCTCATACCAGAGAGGAACAAGTTAGTTTAGTTGTATAAAGTAGAAGAACAAGGTAGTTCTTACATGTTTAGTCTTCAGTGTACTAGTGTAGCAGTCTGAAACTTGACTATGCCTGCTACTTCATAGTTGAATGCTGTAACAAAATCCCCCTCAATTTTACATGCTTGTTTATGGAAGAGCTGTACACAGCTGATCAATAAATGAGCAGTTTGGGAAACATAAGTGCCCTCAAAGTGGTAACAATCATCAGTTTTATTTTCCAGTAAAATATTCACATAACAATATCTGAGAAATGGAATGGTACAGATGAATTAGACCAGGTTTAGTTTGCACATAAATATTCTTAAAATCTAAAAATCTTATGATCAGAGTTTACAGATTTTAGTAGAAATTTGATTCTTACAAAGCAAGTATTGCTTTACTATTGTCATTATTCCAGTCAATAATATGACTAATAACCTTTCATGTTAAACAAAAATGTTTTTTTCTGACATTTGGACATCTTCAGTAGATCAGCCCTTGTAGATCAATCCAAGAAGAAAATATTATTGAACTGTGTTGCACAAAGTTTCTTTACTTCTTCTGTAAAAAGAGAGAGAAATACTTCAGAACGCCACACAGTATTGCAAGTTCTACAAGAGCATATTTTATTATAAAGACAAATAATGCTAAGGAGGAAAAAAAATTCAATTGTGTCCAAGAGGAAGAAGACGTTGCTATTTATTCTACTGAACCCTGAAAGACTCCTATTTAAAAAGGTAAAATCCAAAAAGATAGGCTCAGGAGTAAGCTGACTGCATTCTGCATGTTCACAAGTTTTTTTCATAAATGCTTTGTTTTGTTTTTTAAATTAAAGCTGGTATTTCCAGTCTGCTGCTGCTGTCATTCTTGCTGAAAGTGAAATGACCTCTAGAACAGCTAAAGAACCATTTCCTATCTTGTTTTCACATATCAAAGTGAACTTGCCCTTAAATAAAACTTAATGACAAAAAAAATGAAATGGATTACTCAACACAGGTTCCTTGGAATCCAAAAATCAAATGGAATATTGATTATTAATACTTTGCTTCCAACCCCCATAATTTCACATGGATGAAATCCAATCCCTTACTAAATGCTTTGTAAGTTAAGAGTAGTAGAATTCATTATTCAAATTAATTGGAATAATATCAGAATTGACATATTTCTTAATATACATCTACAGTAGAGTGAAAAATACTTTTTGGGGAAGGAAAAAAAATCATTATTAACACTTAAAATACTAAGTGCCTTTTGTGAGTAGGTTTTGTTATTGTAAAGATGACAAAATACCCACAAATTCAGAAAAGCAGGCATATTCATTTCTAAATACAATAATACACCTCATTTATTTATCATTCCTAAATTAAGTTTGCAGATCAGTGCCATTAATCAAGGAGTACGATAATGGTTACTAATAAATAATTAAAAACATCTTCTGAAAGTCTGCTGAATATTTATATAATCTTGATCTAGTTGCCTTGCAAAACAGGAACCGATACTAAGCCTTGCGCAAGCTGACCCAGACAGTCAGGAGGAAAAACACCTCAGTCAATTTCTTATATAAAAGAAATATGTAAATCTACTAGTACAATATTCTGATCACAGCAATATTATTTAAAAAGAGCAGTGAAAAGTAAAAAAGCTCCTTACCATTAACTTCAATTAGGTTTGCATTTTTTTGATTCAAAATAACATATAGTTCCCGCTGATCAGACTTTTTCCCAACAACCCAGTAATCACTCATTGCCTTCACAATAATTTCCTCATCTTCATCAACTCTGTAAGAGAAGATTCATATAGCAAACCTTTAGGGAAGTCTAGGCCTGTATTAATAAGTGAAGGACAAGTCAGAAAAACAACTCATTAGGAACAACAGCAATGAAGTAAAAAACATCAAGAAATTACCAGCACACAGAGCAGCTTCATTGTATAATTGTCCTAAAAGTTCTGAATAACTTAAGACATTAACTGATGTCACAGACTGTACTGCAGTATGATAGAAACAGCCATCAGAAATGAGTAAGTGTACTGAATGCCAACATAAAACAGCAAGCCAGGGCCAGCAAAGGCTGCAGCCTTCATGTAGGGGAACTTATTTGCTGGAAGCAAGCCAACCATTTATGTGGTCTGTTAGACAACCATGCACATGAGTCCTTTGGAGGAAGCTGCTTGCTGGCCCTAAAGCCACATGGAGAAGTAATAGTTCATAGTACTGCATTTGTTTCACCTTGAATGAATAGTGTGAAAGAAGAAAATCCTGCAAATAGTTAGCTTTCAGGGTTTTTTTTTTTTTAAATGATTAGATCAGGTTGTAAACAAGAGCTGGATGCTTTTGCATACGTCACCCCCATCTCAGTGTTAACTACAAATGCAGTACGTTCCTTCCATCTCACAGTTCACATAAAGAAGTTCTTATATCTGGTTCTTGTCATTGTTGCATGAAACACCTTCAGACCACCAGTCATAACTACTGTCTATAAAACTGTCATATCTTGTCTTCTGTTCACCTGCCACTGCTCCTTCATTTTGTAAGAGTCTTCTTCACATTTGCTTCCTAGTATAATTTGGCTTTTGTTTGTTCCCTCCTCCCTGTGACCTACTCTGCAATGACATTTACAGGAAAACAGCACGAACAGAAAATGGCTCCAAGCAACTTGCAGCATGTCAGCTCAAGAAAAGCAGAGAAACAACAGGCAAGCTTTGGTACTATTAAAAATGACAGATAAAATACTTTTTAGATTTCAAACAAGTGCGTGGATTTCCTATTTTATATTAAGTACCATTTTAAAGGCGTTACTATATCAATTTGCCTGTCCTAAAAGATTTTCTTCCTCTGAAGATACTAGCACATTTTCATGCTTTTGTTTGGTCTGGCCTTGTAGGCAGAGCAAAAGCCCTGTACCATATGCTAGCAGAAGCCCTGCTTATGGACTGGGGTCTCACAGGCACTATGTGAATATAGCCAACAGCAGCACAGTTTTCATATATTTATATAGGATGCCCACTAAAAAAAAAAAAGTCACTGTTAACATCTGGAAGTAAATGGAACCAAGTTTAAAGGAACCAAACCCTATTTTCTCCATGATAAGTTACCAGACTAAATCCAATCCAAAGTCTAACCCATCCAGTACCCAGAGTCTGGAACATGGCCAGCCCTAGTTGCTTCAGAGGAAGATTAAAGCACTCAAAAGCAGGTAAGGTATGCAGTTCTCTGCCCCTCATGTCATGTTGATTCTGTTAGAGTGTGACTTCACCTGAAGCACAAGCTTTAACATCCCTTATACAAAACTGTTACTAATTCTGACATTTCTAAATATTTTTGATATCCGTGTAAGTCTCCCAGTTCCTTTTGAAATCTGTCCCAACATCCCATAGACAAGGGAGACAGGTTAGAAATAGCACGCCAACTAGTTGCAAAAACAGGAAAGTTTGCTTTTATTATTATACTGACTAGTTACATGAACAGGAAAAAAAGCTGCCTGACGTTCTACATATAAATTAAGGAATGCACATCAACAGATAAGAAGATAATATAGGAAACACCCAAAACATTAATAAAAAAAAAAAAATCACCTGGTAAAGTCACTGTTGATATCACCTAGAATCTTCATGAGGTCAGGGTGAACAGATGTGAGTGATATGCTAGGTGTTTTCCTCATATGGACTGTACTTTTCTCAGCCAAGTTCATATGATTGAAATAGATAAACTTAAATTGAGGTTCCTTCTCAGACCTAGATAAAAAAGGTAATGTCTCAGGTAACATCATTTTTTAAACATGCATGTTAATTTAAAGATCACTAATCTAGGCATTATATAAACTGGGTAGATTTTCTCTGTACTAAACATTGTACTCCTTACTTTTCAAGGTCTGTGGTTAGGGCAGACACTGCTAACTAGAGAAACCTACTAAAACTCCTAGCACATCCATGACTATCAATTAAAACCAACAGACAAGCAAGTTTATGATCTCATCTATTTTTCTGGCTTTATTTTTTGTCTCTGTGTAATGGCATAACCTGCCTCTACAGGCCCCATTAGCATACCCCATCCACCTAGTGGGAACATCTCTATCTCCCCTGCACAGGAGGATTCAGTAGCTTTGAGCATTTTCTCCCCAAACTGACCACGTATGTTATGAATAGGATGGCCTGAAATCCTGCTGGTTGCTGAACTGGCTACCCTGGAAGCTTGTTTCCCACTCTCCCAGTCTGGATAAGTCAGATTCTGGCCTGGGAAGAAGTCATCACTAATATGTTTCGTGAAGGATCTCTACTGATGCATTTGGTTTCCATTGACTGCTATCTCAGGAAAAACCTTTATTGGGCAAACTGGCCAAGCCAATGACAGTGGATCCGATATGAGATGGTCTCTCTGTCTTATTTTATTAAGTTATACTTAGTTTAGTATTTGACACTGATTTTGGTAGCAGCCTCTACAATTCAGAGCAGTCTAGGCTTGCTCTTTATACTTCAGGTTACATGTTATATTGTTTGGAATTCAGCGTCATACGATAGTGAGAAACTATCTATCACTTAAGCACACAAGCAAGTGGCTCCATAGGCTGGATATCTTGCTCTCTTTTATGTCACCCAATTGCATTAGTGCCAAAAGAAACTATCAGGTTATCAGGACACCACTGCATTAAAGTTTGAGAGGGCGTTAATAAGATGAGTTTCTACTCCTTTAATTCCCCAGTGACATTTAAAAAACCCTCAAGTATTTAATGATTTAATAGACTGACACAATTTCCAGCTATTTTACTTGACTCTCTGCAATTCTGCCTGTTTTAAATATGCTGCAACTATAATTCATCAGTCAAACCCGTGGCTGTGGTTGGACTGGCATTCTTAGAACAGTAATGTTGTATGGCAGCCAAGTATCTCAAAGGACAAAGCAGCCTTTTGAAGAAAATGCTTCTCAAATATTTTGCGGCAGACTCTCACTTATGTTTCATAGGAGTGCTTCAGTTCTTCCCAAGAATACTAGTGTCTTTTCCTTTATGAGCTTTTTACCAGAAGTTTGTCCATCATCATCATCCAAGAACATTTCTACATAATGAGACTAAGCTGGCACAGAAATGAGTAAGTGTCTATTTACTTAGCCTACCACACATGTATGCGAAATTAAAGACTTCTTTAGAAAGTGAGACTGTCAGATAAAAGCCACCTAGTTGCCTACACTACAAAACTTTGTCCTATAAACTTTCTCTGTCCTTACATAATCCTACTAAATAAACTTTTACGGAATCAGGATATTGCCTGCCATGGTTCCTTTGCTTTACCTGTAGCAGATTAGGGTGGTCTGTGTTGTGTCAGAGTTGACAGTAGTCTTATGTAGGCTTTAGATTATGGATTGTATAGGATAGGGATGGCCCTGCCGCCTCAGGCAGGGTGTTGGACTAGATGCCCCCTGGAGATCCCTTCCAGC